AAAAGAAACATGAAAAATTTATTTACAGCAAAGATATACTGTGAGATAAGACCCAAAATATATACAAATTCTTAATAACTAAAATGAAAAGCTACTTAAATACAATCTCAGACATGTAACATCACCATGTCCTAGGCTTCTTGCTCTCAAATTTCTAACAATGTGCGGTCACCTGAAAAGCCACTGCTATGAGAGACCTCTATGCTAGGGACGAGGGTACCCATACTGTCAAAGGTGTTTGGTTATCTGTAAAGCAAGTATTATTCAAATGTGTAGTCCTGATTAATAACTGGTTGCTGTTATACTGGCTTTTTATGAAAGCATATTACTCATACAACCAGCATGATGATGAACTTTGGTTTCTTCACCAGAAACATGCTGATGCCTATATGGACTTTTGTAATGAAGAGTTCATTATCAATAGATTTTCAATAAATGACAAGATTACAACAAATTCTTTTAATGACTAATCACTAGACTGGACACTGTGAGCACTAATAATATAAAAAGGTCCCTGCTCTTAAGAAACTCAAGAGTCCATAGGCCCACGCACAATCTTTCCTGTAGGTCAACTTTTTGGTTTTTCCCTGATATCAAACAGAAGGGAAAAGTTCAAAAGGAAACAATGACATGTTTTACAAAACACTTCAAGTTTATAAACGTATTCTAGTATATATCAAAGTTTCAAGCAAATAATTTTGAATCTCAAATGAGAAATCACAATAATCAGAATTAAAAGGAAAAAAAAAAGGTTTTAGTCCAAAGTGAAAATGCAGATAACACTTATTTTGGTGGATCTGTATTGATGCCATATTTTTCCTTGAGAAGCTTCAACTGTTCCTCCTTCTTTTTGGTGTCCATTTTCTGAAATGCCTGGAAATATGGGAAGCACCAACGTTAACAGGTACAAATCTACAGCTAAATGAATTTCACCAAAGAAACAGCCAAAAAACCTCACAAAAACCAAATAAACAAAATACAAGCCTTTCATTGCCCTCCCAGGTACAGTTCTACATTCATTCTCTTATCATGTGATAAGAACTTTGCTGTACTTACCCTGTTAGCATTATAGTATAAAACCACGAGGTATCTGTTACAAACATTGAATCCTGATAGGTGGTCACATGCATTCTTGGCATCAAAGATATCTTCATAGACCACATAGGCTGTTCCTCTGGTCTCAGGTGTATTCCCCCTGCAAAGATAAACTGAATGAAACTAAAATACATATTTACCCAAACATTGATAACTGATAACCACTGAGTCATATCCCTAGTCATTTTTTAATTTTGAGATAGGGTCTCACTAAGTTACTGAGGCTGGCTTTGAACTTGTGATCCTCCTGCGTCAGCCTCCTAAGCTGCTGAGATTACAGGAGCATGTCATGGTGCCTGGCTCATATATTCATTTTATAAACAATCCAAACCCTAATGCATTACATAGCCCTGTCTGGCTGAGAAAAAGGGCTCAGCTTCTGCTAAGATGGGGGTATAAGTACACTTGTGAGTTATCTATAAGCCAGGACAGAATGCTGGAATGTGGCTAGAAGTGGAAGCTGGAACTTACAGATACCAGGACTGATTCTAGTGTAGGTGTTCCTTGCCATGTATTCTCTTAAATTCATAAATTTGTTCTGAGAGA